AGTTTACCTATGTAGCTAATATTTAATGAGCAGTTCCCAAAATGTCCTATAAAATACTAACATCTTTCACATGTATATACTCAACTGCTGTGTTTCATTATCACCATATTCTACTTCAGTTTATGTTTAGTATGGGAGAAGGTAAAATAAATGTTCTTAATATTCTGATTTTGGTGTAATATAGCTGGTTATTAGACCTGGTCACTAATAGAAAGGATCAGGTCGTGATTGTGAATAAGAAAACCACCAGTGCTTTATATAACTTGAGGAATGTATATATCCTGGAAAATCGCTTTCTGATTTATACATTGTTTATAATAATGTGCTGTAAATTTAGCCCAGTGTTTTGTCAAAAAGTTGTTAGATAAACAGTCCATCATGCTTTCGCAAATTTATGTCCCCATTGGGGTTTAAAGTTTAAGAATATGCCCTTTGAGACCATCACAGTCTGTAGCTGCGCTGCTCTCACACTTTGACGATTCTATGTAAGAGTCATCTGTGGTGGTGTACTGGATCCATACCAAGAATTAAATCACTATTTATGTGAAAGAGACACATGTTATTGTTTTGTCTTGAATGTTCCATTGTATGACATTATACTTACAGGGTCAATAGTATGCTGTTTTTTGATCTATAATATATATAATTTATAAGTTTGCTTCCGCATCAGAAACATATCTGGAGTTGTGTTTTGTTTTATTCACACACGTTTAACACACACCTGCACATTTAGGATGAGTTTTTCTCTCAAACAGAAAGCATTCTGTTCCACCTCGTGATGTCATGTGGTAATACAGGAAGTGCTCCACTGTGGTTTTAAACTACAGACACCTTCACTAGTATTGTTTGGGTGGTTTAAGCTCTGGAATTGCCCATCTCTAATGAATTAACTTGAAAATGACCTCTTCATTGCATCACAAGGTGGAACAGAACATTTTCAGCTTAAGACATGTAGACAGACCAATAATAAAGGATTACTCAAACATGTGTGAATGAAACAAAACACACCTCAAGGTATGTTTTTGATGAGGTGGCAACATTCTTACATGGCTTAACACTCACAAGAGTCAGTTTGCGTGATATGGGACCTTACCTCAGAATACGCTTAAAATATTACAATGTTTTTTAGTTAGTTGGTAATTGTATTGTTTGTTTTTGTTTCTGTTTTGTATGACAAATCATTATATATGACAATTGGTCCAGTTGGGTCTGACACCACTCCTCAAACATCTGCCCCATTCTCGCCTGTGTGACGGCTGCATTGGGGAACTTCCTGTTGCCGTTCTTAGCTGGGAATTTCGGGGCAGGAAATGATGTCATGCTAGCCACTGAAGGGTCCTCTGTAACATGCAATGGACAGCCACAGCATTCGGAAAAAGCCTGTTGAAGTTATTGGCAGGTCTTTGTTGTAAAATAGGTGCTAGATAAAAGAGAGGAAATGAACAACTGCTACAGAGATTGGACTTCTGGTGTTTGGTGTATTATGTAACCTTAACTAGCCTGGCACCCTGTTATGTAAAGAATTGCCCTCCATGGATTTGTATTTGGTGGCTTTGAGGTGTTGTCCTATTTCTAACACAGCAGGTCTCTAGAGACATGGAATAAGCTGCAGGGAAGGCACTAGGGAAGCACAGGGGATTACAGTGTCACCAATAACATGTTTGAGCCCTAAACAAGCTCTTGATTAAATTCACACCCCCAGAGTGATAGCACTGTGTTCTTAGGTGAATAAAACCTCTGTGCCTTTAGACACTGGGCTGTGTGAAGTGGAAATTGGGTTGTAGTGGTTTATTTCAAATTCATTATAAGCATTATGAGCTATTTTAAATGTGACATCTACGTGATTAGTTATTCATAAATTATCCTCAGCTTCTTTGGTATGCCACCTGCTTTTCTCTGTGAAGATATTAAATGTTCTATATTGGACCCAGTGCTGTCGAAATTAATTAAATTAATTATTGAATGATTGTTATTGCGTTGCTTGAAATATTTCTCAGTATGACATTAAACTGATCTTCATGGGATGTCACCACACCAAGTTACTGTTCAGATCTCTGGAGAGGCAAGTCTGCTCACAGTATGAAGAAGGTTCCTTTAGCAAGTTTATTGTGCTGTTAAGAGACACAAGGATTTTGACATGTGGGAAGACATAATATCCTAAAGTGGCAAATGGCATGCAACATTATCATTGGGTGTCCTGAGACCCACAGAATAATTTGTAATTAATTTCATTACAAAATTAATCACCAAGAGATTCCATACCCATAACATAATATAATATATTTTTTTAAATGAATCTATCAAGGATGCAAAAGAATGTTTTATTTTGTCTTGTGTTATATCTGCTCCTCCCTGTGGCACAAATTAACCTTAGATACAGTAAATGTCATGACACATTGCCTTAGACTTGAATACCAACCTAAATAACATTGTATCTTTTTATAATAAAGAACTTGACTTCAGCATAGATTGTTTTAAATAAGGTTTGTTTTGTCTTCAATCAGTCTTGATGTTTGCGGTTGCTGTTTTAGTCTGGTATGATTTCCTGTGTGTTCTCCCATAGGAGCGTTCCAGTTGTGTGTGTCCCGTCCTCTTTGACTCACTGGGGGCTACATGTTCTCACTGTATCCTATCCAAACATACTGTACAGCACTGGCTCCTATGTGTCCTCCTGCTCTAGTCTGTGGAGGTCAGTGTCTCCTATAGGGCGAGCTCACGGCTGACATGTGAAATTAACATCCTTGCCTCATCAGCACCGGACCCCAGGGAGCGACTCGTGCAAATGCCAACTCCCATTTTTCTCCACCTCCACCATGGCCAGCAGCAGCTCAGAGAGGAACAAAGACTTGTCAAGTGGATTTTTGGGAAGATGAGATGGGAGGATATGGAGGCGGACAGTGCATGTGCAAGATGGTGGTTCATGTGAAGGTTCATGATATGAGAGATAGGACTCTTGCTTATGGTCAATACTTAACCTATTTAACCTATATTTCCTCATATTTTTGTTGCCATAGCAGCTAGGGTATTTTAAGCCAGATGCCTTTTTGCTGCAATCATACCTGCATATCCAGACTTGGCACTTGCAAAAATATACAATTTGTTTGCCATTAATAGTATCTTTATCATTTTATTGGAAGGATACTAGTTTTAAGAAGACAGATCACTATCAATCTGTGGCTGCAAGTGAACAATTTAATTCAATCATTTACTTTCAAAAATATTAAAATTGTATTGCCCAGTCTGATAAAATGTTGGATTTATTTTACGTAGTGAAAAGCAAGTTACAGTGTAAGTCTATGTGAATGTCAGTGAAGAGGACATTGTACTTTTAGACTTGAGAGTTGAGACTTGAGGGGAGAATTAGAGGGCAGAGCTGTAGTCTCGGCATGGGGCGGCCGTGACTGTGAGGGGCAGTTGTAAACACAGAGTTTGAGGAAGAAGGAGCAGAGTCTGATGGAGCTACTCAGGGACCCACAGGAAACCAAACCAACGACAACAGCTAGAAGCATGTCATCTGAGAACAATGAGGGCGTCAAGTAAGTTTACAGCAAAAACGACACACCGCAAAACTGAAAAACGGCTGTATTTTTGGTCCGTGATGGGCTATTTTAATCCCTGGCGTTGCTTCATATATGATTTAGATGGACGAGTTATGCGGAGAATGTGGGAAGAAGGATGTAATTGTGATTGTGGTGAAAGTATAATTTCCTTTGAGTGTTTCTATCTCTGAACGCAAGGATTTTATTGTTTCTGTGTTGAACTTTGGCTCCTTTTTGGGTCTTTTTGTCGGATGAATCAGTTTGAACTAAAGAGGTTACAATTGGGAGATAAGTGAGATGGACTGACTGACAGGAAGTGGCAAAATTGGAAAGTAATTTTGTAATTTTGTCTCCAGATTGCATAGTTGCCATAGTAATAGTCCAAATTTAATAATGCATTGAAATGAAGAGGGTTGGTTTGATCTTTTTACACCAATAGTTAAGCTAAATTAGTTGATGTTGTAGTGCTAATTGCTCTTGTTGTAGTTTTTGTACTTGAAATCCTTTACCAACCTTTTAAAAGTAATGGCTTGTACTATGAGTTTTATTTTGCTAATGCACACTTCCATTAACACTACATGTAATCTGTCATTATTGATTTTTACCACCATAACATTTACTATAGGTTGTATGAATGAACCTGTATGTTGAGTTAGGTTTGAAAACTCCCTAATGCTTCATAAATGTTGTTTTTAAGTTACAGTCCTTCCATCTTTAGCAGTAAACTCGTTGCCTTCTCATAAACGGGCCCAGACTTGAGTAACGTGTGTGTTACATATGCCTGTGGAAAATGGCTATAAAACCTCTCGCGGTGCTAATGGGCTGTGGTGCCATTTGTAGAGCCTGTTAAAAGTATGCATGAACAACGTGAAGGGCAATCACTCTGAAAGATTGTTCATTGAGAATAGGGCTCAGTATTGTTTAGAAGTAATACTGGTACACAAAACCATGTTGAAACCAAAAAAAGATATGATAATTTTCCTTGGATAACAAATTCTGATGTGGTGGGTCCTGGGATAGACAGGTTATGAGGTTATGTCATTGTCACCACAAATGAAAGATACAAACTGCAGTAGTGATTCGAATTTATGAACTTTATAAATGTTTTTTTTTTATACTATAGAATTATATCGTGATTAATATAAGAATAGGTACAATATATTAAAGTATTGATAAAAGACCTAATTCACAATGTTTTTGTCCATTCTACACATACGCATATGGGCGTAACTTGAGTATATTTCACTTAAATTATATAACTAAATAGAATTTAAAAAAATGACAGTCCTGCACTTGGTCTCAGGACATTTTTTTTCTCTCCAATTTTCATCACTGTTTTCTTTAGTTTCTCCTAATAAAGTCTACAGGCAAAAAACATTTACACAAGTGATTCAAGTTGAACCAAATGTTTAAATGTATTTCTAGTTTCTCCAGACTTATCATGTCTTTTTGTCCTTGCAGAGATTGAGGCGAAGGAGGCCTGTGATTGGCTGAGAGCTGCTGGATTTCCACAGTATGCCCAGCTCTATGAAGGTAACACACACTTGCTGCTTTTCACATGAAAGAGCCCACAAACCCAAACGTTCTTATTGTCTCATTTCTTTTATTTACTTTTACATTGATGTGCTCCTCTCTTCCGTCCTTCATCTCTCCATCTCTTCGGGACGTCCCGTGCTATTTCCAGGCCTCAGTTCCTGTCTTTAAGGAGGGGTCATGGGAAAGGCCTTGTTATCGCTACTGGGACTCTCTCTACTTCTCTTTCTCTCGTCCACCTTCTTTCCTCTATTGCTGTTAATGTTAATGTTTACATATTCTCTTATCCACATCCAATACTACTGATAATAACTGGATGCTTTTAAGGAACTAAGGATACTTTAAACTATTAGAGTAATATTAATGACTAAACTCTCAAACAGTTGTAGAACATTTGTTTGAAGTAGCTATTTGGTGATATGTAGATAGTGAAGACAAGCTACCTATGATAGGATTGCTTCAAAGGTGCACTATGGATTTTATTTCTGGTGGAGGGTATGCCCCCTGTTAGTCTCCATGGAGATGTTATTGATTTGCTTGGAATGTTGCCTCTCCACAGATCCAACCTGTAACTTGGCCTGGTCATGTTGCCTGCTTGTCTTGAAAGTGATAAGTTTAATATCATACTATGGCCAAGCAATAATATATCTATCTGACTCAGACCTGAAGCATATGAAGCAATTGCAATATTTTTTGAGGCTATACTTACTATTATGTCATTTGTGTTCAGATTTGGCTTGTCTCAAATCAGACCGCAGATCTTACAATTACACTGGCTATTTTTATTGCTGTCCATAACTTTCACGTCACATTTTTTCCCAGTCTTGGTGTCATCTAATATGTCATCTAATATCTTTCCTGTCACTGGGCCCATAACTTCAACTAAACGGGAAAGCTTCCCCAGTGATCCAAGCACTCACTCTTTAATCTATAACTGTCTGTTCACATGCCTGCTCAGATCCACTACAAGCTCTGCGAATATGTGCTTATGGTCCACTTGTGTGGCTGCTCAAACAGTGAAACAAAACACTGAAGTCATTTTGTTATTGTGTAAGAAGAGATTTAAAGAATGCTTTGATATGTGTGTTGCTCAAATGCCACTAACAGGTGCTTACAACAGTGGCTTACTTTACAGTTTATTTAGGCGTTTACTGTTGTCTGCTGTCAATCATTCACCACCAAAAACAATCCACGCCTCACCTCTCTCTCTCTCCATGTCTTTTTTTGTTGCAGATGCACAGTTTCCGATTGACATTTCTTCTGTGAAAAGGGACCATGATTTCCTAGATAGAGATTTGGTGGAGCCACTGTGCCGGTAAGAATTTTTGTTTTTGTTGACTTCTGAGTGATTGTAAGTCCCATTTTGCAGTTGTTGGAGCTCAGAGAAAATGCATTGGGCTTAGGTTTTGAAATGCATTAGTTTCTTGTTGGCTGGTTTTATGTGCTTGATGTCATGCCACCTACACCTACCACAGCCTGGTGAGATCACTCAAGAAAAAAAAAAGCTAAATGGATGTAAACAACACTTTTTCTGGAGCCTGGGATCAATGGAAGCTTTCATCTGAAAATCTGTAGACTAATGCTAGCTGGCTTGTGACTGGGAAGTTATTTGAGAGAAATTAAACCAGTTCTTTCTGGTCAGATTGGTTAAAATTAAAGCACAGATTAAAGTCCAACAAATGCTCAGACAGAGCAGTGCTTACAGTTAGCATCACACTCCCAGTGAATGTTGATGACATCAGATGCAAAGTAGCAATAGTACCAGTAGTTATTTTACTTTTATTTTGGGCTATAACATAATTTTTAACCCAGAAAAATCAAGATGCATGTTTTAAAGGGGTGTCCTTATCCTAGAGGGGACCTAGAGCTTCTACCTTTTTCAGTTGTAGAGGAAAATAGTAGCCAAAGAAACCTATGCATAGAAATTGCCAACACAGGGAGAAAATGCAATCTCCACACACAAAAGCCCCCACTGGAAACTGTAAGATTGAAAAAAACACTACATCACATAACTGCCATTTCTGTCTTTACTTGACAGACAAAGCTTTAAGAACTTATATAAACTGTATAAATCAATACTATAATGGCACCATTGCTCAATGCCACTCTCCTCCTATAAGATAATCTATTCATAAATGAAACATATGCCCTGTAGTCATATGTCCAGCCAGACAGCTCACTCTCCTCCTCCTTAGTCTCTACATCATTTCCAGTCAAAATCACAGCTCTTTACCCTCAGTCCTTCAGGTCTCTCCGGGAACCAGTGTCCACCACGCTAACAGCAAACTGTTAATCACTAGGTTCAGTCTGACCCCAGCCCACATAATGAAGACCCCATCCCAGTCTCGCACTCTGGCTTTGGGCTTTGATCTGGCCACCTCCCTCCCCTCCACCACGCTCTGATCTCCCAGTCAAAGAGCCAGCACCCTCGGGGGGCTGTAGAGGGTAATTGGGTAGGAGTGTACGGGATGCCAGCCTAGACTACCAGCTGCCTTTGACTGGTTTAAAGTCCCCTTTCTTGCACACTCTAGCTATGATCTTTTCATTTCACTGCTCCTGTGCTTTCTCCTTTTATCTGAAGGTCCATGGGGGGAGAGGGGGGTGTGGTAATTGCAGTGTTAGTGGCTCTTGACAGCTATACTCTCCGAGAAGGCACATCAGATCTTTGAAAGGTGTCCCAGGAGCAGTAAAACACACTCCTAATTAACTCCCCGTGCTAAGAAGCTACCTTTTATATTGAAATTGTACTGTGAGGAGCCATTAATCTTACACTGTGAAGTATGAGGCTGTAGTATTCAAATGAACCCAATTTTAGAGTGAACCTTTACATATTCACTGGGTCTATCTTACAATTATAAATATATCCCCATGCCTATACATCAGTCTACCAGTTTAGGGATTAGTACTTTATTCATTTAGCTCTAAATCCCATTTCACATTTGCGCAGAATTTTTAAAAACTGTTCATTTGATACTAACCTTTCACAATTTAGTACTTAGACTTCAAACAAGCCAAATATAAAGTTCATTAATTTGTTTTCTCTTTATTTCTCTTTATAACATAGGCCTATAATATAATATATAATTAATGGCCTTATATCTCTTTCATCAATTTTGACTCTATCCAATTTTTGTGTCATTGTTGTTATTCTGAGAACATATAACATGATTTTATAATTTTTCACAATAAATGACACCATAACTTTTAACTTAAATTTTACAAACTGCAAGATGTTCATTCCTCTCATATGTACTCATATGTTCCAGTTTATGAAATCAAGCTTTTTGAATAAGTAAGTAAAATTATGTGCAGTGTCTAGATTGAAATGAAGCGACTTATTTTGGATTCTATAAAGATTATTGCTTTTGTGTCCATCCATACGATTATGACGTGACTTGAATAATCACAATCACAATAATGAATCTCCCAATTAACCTTGACATCTCTATTTTACAGTCAGTTTTAGGTCAAAATGAATTGTCCAAAGTGTAAATATAAACTAATAATGGTATATCACCTTTCTAATGCTTTGTTGAGTTTACTGACCACCTTCTGTCTGCTAGTTTGAGAAGGTAAACAACGCATGAAAGAAGATGTCCCACTGTTTAACTCTCAAATGACAGCACCGCGACATGTTTTTATGAGCCCATCTTGAAAGGCTGCTGTGCTCTGCTCCTGTCCTGTAGGGGTCAGACAGACAGAGGGAGGGGGCCGCTGAGACGGGACTTTTGTGTGGAGCCGGGACAGGCCAGGGGGTTAAGGGGTAGAAGTGCGGGGCTGCAATTCCAAGATATTAAATGCATCTAAGAATTTGAAGAAAATTTTTTAATGCATAATAAATGGCCACATTAGAAGTCATCGTTTTTCACATATTTATTTTGTGTTTAAAATAGATTTGGTACATTTTGAGCAATGCAGTAAATTATTGTATGGTACAGGGGCATAATATTTCTTTCAAAACACATTTGCAGCATTCCAATAAAATTTCACTTAAACTTAGACTTAAACAAACTTTATTGATTCACAGGGAAATTATTTGGACACAGTAGCTCACACATCACAATATATTACAATAATAAAGAGCAAGAATATAATAGAATGGTGATTATAAATTCAAAATAAGTAGCAAAATTAGCAAGAGACTGGTGTCAAATAAGGCATAATTATATAAATGTATATGTAAAAAAATAAGTCAATATCTATACAAATATATCTTTTAGCTATATACAAGAGGTCATAAGGAGAAACAGTGCAAAGATTAAATATCGAGTGACATGACATAGGGTTATCTATTACGTAAGGGTCACTTGTTGTACAGGTGTATGGAGTATGCTATGAATGTAGTCCTTAATGACATTAACATGTTTAAAATATTAAACATGTTAATGTCATTGCACTTTTACAATAAGAACTACCAAACCATTTGTCTCTGCTATTAATCCTTTAATTTGTGAAACTTCAAACAGCAATGTTGTGATTCTGAGAATGTTTTACAAGCCAAGATTGATTTTCAACAACATCATGGTGACCCAATGTAACCCCATGGCTATAAAAAAGAGCATAGATAACTTTACTATCTATGTCCAGCTGTAAACGCATAAACTGTCATAAGTGACTTCCTATGTTGTAAAGTGGGAAGACCCAGGAGCCCATGAGCACTGTCAGGAGCAGGGGGAGCACAGGAGGGGCAGAGTTCTGAGGCTACGGAGCAGTCTCCCAGTGGGACCATGGAGTAAGGATCCTGGTACAGAGAGAGATTTGAGAGGGAGGAGAGAGGAGACTCATGTAGACAGTGTGTGGAGTGGAGGGTGAATCCATTGAAGTAGATCAAAGAGCAGAGTCAGTGGTCCTGTCAGCAGCTCAGTGGGACAGGGGTGAAGGTGTCACTGAACAGTAGCAGAGACCCACATGTGTTAGAGGATGAAGACAGTCAGACCGTCCCACCAGCTTCTCTGTGTCTAACCCCGTGTGTGTGTGTGTGTGTTTATGTTTTAGGCGACTCAACACTCTGAACAAGTGTGCCTCCATGAAACTGGATGTCAGCCATCAAAGGAAGAAAGTAAGTCTGATTTTGTTTGTTGTTAAAGTTATCATCTTTTCACTGTTACTATTGATGATTCACAAGGGGAAAATGTACATAGCCATTGTAGTGATTCAGTGTAGGACAATAGCAATAGAATTACCTTTTTGTAAGAGAAGTAGTTATTCAGTTTATGTTGTTTTGTTTGTGGGTAGAAGTATTCAATCAACAAACCTACCTCTGTATTTATAAGATTGTATTTGGCTTGCATTCAATAGGTGTATAATTTAACTAAAACACTTTTGTTCACCTTGATGAAAACCTAAGTGAGAGTGCTTGAAATTACAGCAACATTCAACTTAACATAAATCTCTTGGGTCTCTGGCCTTGAGCCATTTTTAAATCAGGACATTTTCTTCTTGTACAAAACACATGCGCTTGCTCCAATATATGCAGGAAGCCTATTGGCAAAAATGTAAACAAAACATTCTTACTGCCTTTCTAGACTTATGTATAGTGATGAGGCAAGACTTTTTAAAGGTTCTGTTTTATTCTATTCTCTGACCCTTTATAATGTCGTTTCCTCATCAGAAATATACCAGGCGTTATGGAGTTATGTTTGTTTCAGTCACACATGTTTCCTACATTTTTTCAGCATCCTGCAAATCCTGCATATTTACACTGAGTTGTTTTCTCAACCAGAAAACACCAACTTGTGATGTCAAGGTAATTCAGGAAGTGCTCCACTGTGTTTTTAAACTCCAGACACCTTCAGTAGAATCATTTGAATAGTTTAAAACCTGGAATTGCCAATCTCTACTGAAGAAAAGGTAAAAGGTAGCTGTTGACTTGAAAATTACCTCTACATGACATCAAAAGGTGTAAGAGAAGACAGACTAATAATAAAAGGTTACTCAAACATGTGTGAATGAAACTCCAAATATGTTTGTGAGGTAACAGCATTATACTTAAAGCTCATCAGGATCTTTAATAAATGTGTTCCTGAAAAACTAGGTTGTTTTTGCAAACTGATCCAGAGCATATAGAAATACAGCAAGTCTTGACATTAGCTGGTGAAAGCCTTGGGCAGCCCTAGGACTCCCATCCTTTGACATTCCTCACATAATATTACATTCATTAATTTGTGTCTTTAGGGGGAGGACTCAGATGAAGATGACCCGCTGGCAATTAGCAAGAGGTGGACCTTTGAGTGGAGCAGCCGCCGTTGGTCGCGCCTCCAAGACTTCCTGTTGGACTCGACCAATGACAGCAGTCCGACGGGGCGGGGGGCGGGGCTTCACAGCACAGTTAGCAGCGAGAGTGTCCTGACAGACTTGAGCGAGCAGGAAATAACAGAAATATCCTCCATCCACAGTGAAGACTCAACACTCGCCATGCCTGATTCAATATCTATGGCCTCACTATCCGCGTCCTACCAACCACCCCGGGAAATTCCTCATTACAACACTCTACCAATCAAAAGGCATAGTCAGGGGGGGCGGAGCAAAGCCAAGGAGTTTCTGAGGAAGATGGAGTTGATGCGGACATGGGGGCCTTCAACGAGGAGGAAAAGCGCCACTCGGAGGCCGCCGTTGGTCATCAGCGGGCCCGTTCTGCAGGGGGAGGAGCCACGGGCGCTACAGGTGCTACAGTGTACACCTATCAGCCAATTGGAAAACGGCAACAAACTGGACCACCAAAATGATGACAATAGCGGCTCTATCAGTCCTGTTTGCAACCATAAGGATATGTCAACAGCAGGTAGCCCCGATGCTGAGACTGTGATGCCTGCTTTAACTGAGACCAGTCCCAAACCACGCACCGCTAACAAGAGGAGCAGTAAGTATTTAGAAGACATGGTGCTGCCTTCCCAGGGCAAAAGGACAGAGTGTGGACAGGCTCAGTTTGGGAAGAACCAGTTCCACTCTTATGAAAACCTCCTAATCCACATCCCCAAAGACCACAAACCAGGCACTTTTCCAAAAGCACTATCTATTGAGAGTCTAGCGCCCGCCTCGGGGGACAACAGCCCTCAGACTGAAGTTCCTAAAAATGGGCTGAGTAAACATTGGTCGGGTAAACCCCTCTCCAAACCATGCCCCGGAGCACCTCGAGGCAGCAGGGTCAGTGTGTATGACAATGTACCTGGGTCCCACCTGTATGCCAGTACTGGGGACCTTCTGGACTTAGAGAAGGAGGATAACCTGTTCCCCCACCTGGACGATATCATTCAGCACGTGAGCGGCCTCCAGCAGATCGTAGACCACTGGAGTCGGAGCGTTCTGCCCGAGGGGGACATGGGGGAGGAGGAGGGGGAGGACAGGACCACCCCGAGCGAAGGGGACAGGGACGGAGTGTCTCTCAATGACACTGACTCCACCGGAACCAGTCGAGAGAGAAGAGATTCTGGGGTGGGGGCATCTCTTACAAGACCACGGTGAGTAGAAGTAAAAAGATTTTATAGCATTTTAACTTGATTTCTTAAAAGAAATTTGCTAAGTTATAAATATAGAATGGATTATACAATAAGGAATATTTAATGAGCATGCACACACTGTAGTTCTCATCTGCCTGACATAACTTTCAAGTGGTTAAAACCATTTGGTTACTGTCTATATCCCAGACTACGCTGGCCCAGTTTTCGGACCTCTGATCATCTCAACCAGCCCTCCTCGTCCCTTCACATCAGCAGCCAGTCTGCGGGACAGCTCAGTCTGCTGCAGAAGTTCTCACTCCTGCGCCTCACCGCCATCATGGAGAAATACTCCATGTCCAATAAGCATGGATGGACCTGGTTAGTTTTAAGTGATAAATGATCACATTCTGTCTCAGTGCCACCTTTGGCAACTATAATGCAGGCGATTTGATAACCTGGTCAAGGATACATAGCTGTATGAATAGCCCACGTAATTTAGGTTGAAACATGGACGCTAGCTCATCCTGAAGTGTATTCACTGGCTTTAGGAATATTTTATCTTCCTGATTTGAAATGTTTTTTGAGGACCCTTCTCCTTTAAAAAGATATACATTTTTTATTTGAATTGCGTTATTGAATTAAAAATGAATCCATTACCTGAAACCCATAGAATAAGTGAAGTATTTTTTGACACCTTCATATCGGTAATTTATTCTGCATAATTCCATATGCTTCCATATTGAAGTACCTACAAATTAGTGTGACATTTGAATATAATCATTCACATTTTTTTGTATACATTACATTTGTAACGCTCAACATACCTAAACTTTCTAGTAGAGTACAGCTGGCCTTTGTTTTGAAGTTTCAGGATGTACTTACGGGTCTGTTAATGACTTGTTCCGTCAGTAAAGATGGTGGCCAGTAGAGTGTGTATGAGGAGATCTGGACTTCTTTAGGCCACACCACATCCCATAAGCACACAAGCACATCTTTGTTTTGTTAACGACCTGTGTATTTATTATACCCATGAGGGATACTGTGTTGACCAGCATGCTACAGGAATGTCCCGTAATGACAAGTATAGACAGTAATTCCTCCCTTCACACTTGTCTAATGGTTGTGCGTGGTTGCCTCGCAGGTCCGTGCCCAAGTTTATGAAGCGCATGAAAGTCCCTGACTACAAAGAGAAGAGTGTTTTTGGAGTGCCTCTCATCGTACATGTCCAGCGCTGTGGGTTTCCTCTCCCCCTGTGCTTACAACAGGCCCTCAGCCACCTCCGAACACACTGTCTGGACCAGGTAAAAGGAAAACACATTTTTACAAGAAGACCTAATGCATTTAAGATATGTTTTGTCCATACAGTTCTAATGGCTGGCATCTGGTCACTAATTGTTTTGTTTTCTTCCTGAAAGGTAGGGCTGTTCCGTAAATCAGGAGTGAAATCTCGTATCCAGGCTCTTAGGCAGCAGTGTGAAGTGTCTCCAGACTTTGTGAGCTATGAGGACCAGTCAGCGTATGATGTGGCAGACATGGTCAAACAGTTCTTCAGAGATCTACCTGAACCGCTCCTCACCAGCAAACTTGGAGAGACCTTCCTCCACATTTATCAATGTAAATCTCATGATGTCAACTGAAATTATGTGTGAATTGAAAAGATGTTGTTAAGATCTTAAGATGTTGTCTTAAGATCTCATCTAATTTTTTAATATATTGCGATTGCAACCTTGTCATGCTACAGTACAACTTGTAAGCTTACTGGCCCCTTATTGGGGAAGTGAGTTCCCCAGCATCCCTGTCGTCTTGGTACCATCCAGCTAAGATTGTTAAATTGGTGGGCCAAGAGGAGCATCTGGCAAATCTAGCAAAACTAGCCAGATTTGCTAACAATAATTCATGGCTTTTGGGGCCCTGTACAAGAGAAACTTTGTGTTTCTCCTCCCATTGTGGAAATAGTTCATTAGTCATTGTATCACATACAAAGAAAAGACTGCTCATACCCAGCTAGGCCATCACTAGTATATGTCTTGTGCAGAGTTATCTTCATTTGACACATGTATGAAAGAGGATTTTGTGAACATGTCCATCTGGTGCTTGAACTCTTTCCGTGTTATTTTGTAGATGTGCCAAAGGAGCAGAGACTGCAGGCTGTCAGGGCGGCCATCTTGTTGATGCCAGATGAAAACAGAGAGGTGCTACAAACTCTGCTCTTCTTCCTCCGGGACGTGACTTCGATGGTGGAGGAGAACCAGATGACTCCAATGAACTTAGCTGTTTGTTTGGGACCATCACTTTTTCACCTGAGTTTATTCAAGAATGAAACACTATCACCAAGGTTTGTCTAATACATAGTAAAAATTCATTAAAATTATGGCGTAATTATTCTGTTTACTATATATCTTTGTTTTTTTAACTATAGGTCTATTCAGAGGAAGTACACAACAGGACGTCCTGATCAGAAGGATTTGAATGAGAACTTGGCCGCTACCCAGGGTTTATCACATATGATTGCTGAGTGCTACCGCCTTTTCCAGGTAGAAATTTGTATTTACTGCTGTTACACTGTTACACTCCTCATCTATCTGGTCCAGGCCTGTTGGATTACAATTAACCATGTGTTATTCGTATGTTCAGCTGTTACTATGGTGACAGAATGCACATTAGCAATACCTGCCAAAAAAGTTTTAAGATTGTTTGAAAACAAAGAAAAATACAAAACAACACATTTCTTGTTTAGATGATAGAACTAATGTGAGAGTGACAAATTGAAAAACTGTAGCCTAAAGCTTATGACTGTTAATGTTATTGACAGGGTCTAACCCTGTTCAAATCATCTTACCTGTTGTAGTTCCAGCTGAGTCAGTTCTTTATGGTCAGATTGTGTTGAAATAAAGCTCAGATTAAAGTGTAACTTGAGTAGCAGAGCTTCAGACAGAGCAGTGCCTACATTAGCATCACACCCCCAAGGAATTCTGATGACATTAGTTATAAAGTATTAATTGTCCAATCCCCTACTTAAAATACTAATGGTTTGCTGTCAACCCATGAAAGAAAAAGGAAACACAATTTTCACTGTTATCTAAATTAATAATGTATTCTTGGTATTACCTAATTATGCTTCACTAGATCCCGGAGGAGATGGTGACTCAGTCTAGGAACTCATACATGGAGGCAGAGCTGCTGGCGCCCCCGCTGGACGAACTTGGTAAAGTCCATGATGAGGAGGTGGATGAGGAGGATGAAGAGGAGGACGAGGAAGGATCCTATCACACACACATCGAAAATCTGATCCAACATCTTCTGAAAGAGGCCAAGGACAAGAGCAAAGGCTGGGTGTCACGGCCCACCATCGACCACACTGAGCTGGCCTTCAAAAAGGTACAATTTCTGCAATGATATGGTTGATTAGGCACATTTTATAGCTATGTATCTTACACTGTATGTAATGTTTTTATCTACACTGTGTACACAATTATTAGGCAAGTGGGCATTTTGACCATATCAAGATTTGTATGCATCTTCTCCATCTCCAAGTTGTTTAAATTTGGATTCTTATTGGATTTAAGCATATTCGGTAATAGCGAGAGTGTGGCCTAAGGAGATCAACACCCTATTTCAAGGTGTACAGAATTATTAGGCAGCTTTTTTTTGACTCCATGAATCAAAGGCTTATGACCAGTATTGAGAAGAAGGGTGGCTGTATTGGCCACTAAACATTAATCTGTAAATTTTGAGTTGTTTACTATTCTGACAGACGAAAATCAAGAAGTGAGAATGGAAAATATTCGTTTTTCATTTAGTTGGGTAATAATTATGCAGTAGTTGCTCAATAAATGTGCACATATAGATTTTCTCCTCAGAAAATCAAAACTTCACTTTTGCTTTCTTAAATATTCAGGTTTGAGGTTTATTAACATTTTGCATTGACTGAGAGCACTGCAGTTGTTCCACTATAAATACAGCTTGCCTAATAATTAGGTACACAGTGTACTTTATTTTATCATAACCTTGTTTTGATAAAAAAAAAATTTTTACTAAACTATATGATTAGTGCATTGCATACTGTGGCTAAGCAAAAGGCTCTAGTGTTTTATTGCTGCTGAGAAACAGCAGTATACATAGTGTATTCCACACCATGTATTGTATCTAACACTTATTATCCATGTGTCGTAGGTGGGAGATGGAAACCCTCTCCGGCGCTGGAGGATCAGTCTGGAGGTGTCAGCAGCTCCCTTTGAGGTGCTGCAGCGGCTGTTGAAAGAGCGCCCCCTGTGGCAGACTGACCTACTGCAGGAGAAGGTCCTGGAAACTCTGGACAAGCAAACAGATGTGTATCAGTATTCTTGCCGCAATATGGCACCACAGTCCAGCTCTGACTATGTGGTACTAAGGTGGGTTCTCATCAAAATCATTTATCTAAATGCATTACTAAAATGTGAGCTGTGTACTTTTTGGGGAAGTTAGTTGATTTCCTGTGAGTGAACAAATTTGAAATACACAAAGATGCAGTGACTGAAGCTTTCATCAAAATATGCAGATCTAGTGTTCTGTTTTATGGTGTGAAAACTAAAACTTGCACATTGCGCCATAATCACTTAAATTACAATTTTAGCGTGTTCTAGTGTAAAAATGTAACTAAAAACTATTCATTTCATAGAATTGTTGTGCTAAAAAATATGTTATCCAGATAAATAAAAGAGAAAATTAAAACAAAAGTAAACTTAGCATTTAAAAATATATTATACTATATGCATTTTATAGGTGCCAGTACAATCTGCATGTTACTGTGATGCTGTCTGACTAGCCCTGCTTGTCTCCTGTCTCCTCAGGTCTTGGCGCACAGACCTGTGCAGAGGGTCTTGTGCTCTGGTGTGTGCCTCAGTGGACCATGAGGACAGCCCTCGGACCGGAGCTGTGAGGGGGGTGGTCCTGGAGTCCCAGTACCTCCTGGAGCCCAGCGCAACAGGGCGCACCAGACTCACCCACATCTGCAGAGTGGATCTCAGGTGAGGGAAAGTCACCATTACATGCAAGAAGATTGTTTTTACTCTAACACTGTATAAATAGTTTCCTGCAAAAGTAAGAATTATGGTATAGTATGACTTTACACTTTAAAGCTACTGAATGTTTTAAATGTTGGAAATGTGTTTAGTTCTGTATAGGGAGTTTGTAGCCAGAAACTGACGGACTGATTTATGTAGAATTTACATCACCCTTAACCTGACATAAATATGCACTAAGTGTATGGATGAAGTACAAATTATTATTATTATTATTATTATTATTATAAGTGTTACAATTCAAATTATTTAAATGTTTTAAATGTGTTTGGTATTGGCAATTCATAACCAGCCATACACTGACTGCCTATTGTGCAGTTTACCCCACCTTAAGCCATATAACTGATATTCATAAGATCAAATGAAGTGTATGTTGGTCATGTCACTATAATAATTTATTTTGTGGCCCTATTTCCGCTCAACATTTTATTAGACACAACCTAATGTAGTTTTTGCGTATTTCTTTATTCAGAGGAAGATCTCCAGAATGGTACAATAAAGCTTTTGGTCACCTCTTGGTAAATGAAGCCCAGAGGGTCAGGTCCTCCTTCCAGACCATGGATTCACCCCAGAGTCCCGAAGCCAAACTCTGACCCAGAAATCAAGCTCTATCTCGGGGGGACACTGCCACATCAGCGGGACACACAGACAGACAGGTGTGAGCCTTTGTCCTGAGGTGGGCTCTGAACAGTCACCGGGAGACCAACCATTTTGCTGCTGAACTAATCTGAGCTTCACTGCACCACATTGTACTGAACTACAGTCATTTACATTCACAAAAAGATATTGATAAAATGGCTTTAATGGGCTATTAATATATTCAATTATTTTTATGACAGGACTTAGAACTAAAAAAAAAAAGTTCTGTCATGTAAGTCTGTGTAATGATTTGAAATGTTTTGGCGTAGATGGTTTATTATTAATATTATGAATTAAATTTGATTTCATCTTAATGTTTGTTCATTTATAAACAAAACCAAATGCCAATTGCAATCATATTGTATATTTGTATTAAGCAATAGCTATACATGTTTTTGTTTATTTTACATTTTATTTTAAATTATTTAACTACTATTATTTATGTCAGTGAAATATTAATATAATATATATGCTTTAGTAGTAGAACTGAGAAGCTGGATGACAAAATCAGCATTAGCAATAGCCTCCTGCTCTTGTGTTGACGCACTTATACAAAGCTTTCTATGCAGCATAACTCTTTCTGAATGCTCTGCTCAAATGACTGGGTTCAGTACAATGGTGCACAAACCAGTGCTTCAACAAAAGTAAACTGTCATTGGGTCCATGAGATTTGGTTTGGGCTTAAGATGTTAATATCATGGTTATACTTTGATCACTATTTTAAACGCATCTAAATGTTATTTTAACATATTAATGTCCTTTTATGTATCTCTGTATATGGTATATCTGTTGCTTTTGCAGTCATGTTTTACTATGTCTAAGACATGTGACCATTTCACTGCTTCTGGGAAGCACGTTTGAACCAGTGTGAGTGTGGCAGATCAGGCGCATTGTAAATATGTCAGCACATCCAGCATCACAGCTTCACCCAGGGTCTTCCTCATACTGATCATATTGATACACTCAAATGTGAACTTCACCAAAGCAATAGCAGAATCCAAGCTTGCTCTGCCTGGCCCTGCCTCGGCTTCTTTAGTTTCAGCTGTTGGCAGCATAGGTACCATTTTTCTGTGATACAAATCTTGTCAGTGTTGAACCCTGAGGATGCCGTGAGTGGATGGCGTGTATGTTATGTGCTGTAGATATATATATATTTGTGTGTGTGTGTGTGAGTGTGAGAGAGAGCGCGAGAGAAAGAAAGAGGACGGGGGCTTTGTGGACCTGAGCTGATCTCTGAACGGGACAGCTCCAAACTTCAGACCACAGGAAGTGTTGGTTCTTTCTGACAAAACAAATAAATGTTTCTAAAAGAAAATAAAAGATGGTTCTTTTGTTGGTTTTGTTTTGTTTTGTTTTGTTTTCTTCACCTGAAACTGAAGAACAAACTTATTCCAGGTAACAACATTCGGTACTTGAGGCATATTTTATTTAAGCATTGTTTATTAGTTAGTACTTTCAATGTGTAACTTAATTTTCTTAACATCACAATCATTTTCCCTGTTCCTATGCTACTTTGTTTGGACGCTTGGAACCTTGACAAGGCATGGATCATTTTGGCACACAAACTTTCAATGCCCCGATATATCCACAGAGGGGCGCTGTTGTTTTACCAGAGGCTGAAGGTCATGAATGAAAGTGTACCGTAGAGCTGATGTTCGTATATTTAGACCTAGTGAATGGAGAGTGTTGAAGCCATCAGCCCGTTTTCCCCAGAGGACGCAGCGCCGCGCCAAAGTGAGCCGTCCCGCGTGGATCAATACTCAATCACATTTACCTACTTAACCGTGAGGACGAAGGGAGTTCGGGCCACCGCAGCTCTTCAAGCCTTACCACCTGTGACAAGGCACAAATGGGTGAACAGTACGCTAAGTCTGCGCTCATTTAACATGTCAGTGATTTTATCTTCAAAGTAGGGCGCACGTCGCGAGCCCTGAATACTAATTACGGTTCTCTCTGTGGGTCTCCGCCGCTCCGAGGTTCCAACTGTGAACATTATGTTCCTAGGTTTACTATGAACCCGCTCCAAACAGTAAAAGAACAAGGATGGGTCACGGGCGCAAGTATACATCATTCAACTGTCTGCATCGCCAAATGTGCGTGTGCGTAAAGCCGGGAAAAAGAAGGAAATATGGCAAATTATTTAACAAGACTCTGCTGGACACGTGTAGACGATCTTGATACACAGGCCTGTGTTCCAATGAATGCGTAAATCCAGTGTGACATGTTTTATAGATAGAGACAGTAATGAGATGAGAGTGCGCATCAAGAGTGACCTCCTCTGGGTTGATTGAGAACTGCATTCCCAAGCTTTTGCTCAAGAAAATATTTACAACTTGACAATTTCATTTATTTAAAAAAAATTATCAAGTGGCCTACTTCTAGGCACATGTCAATAAGCAAACAAGTTTGGTTCAGGTCTTGTGCCATGTTGGTTTATGAAATGAACAATAAGTAATTGTAAACAAATACAATGGACCTATGCTAGTTTTCTTTATTTACGTCTGTCTTTACAATGCCTTAAGAGCATAACTATAGTGAATTCTATTGTACACGGATTAATGGCACTGTTATAATAGCTAGAGGATGATAATAAATGAAGAACACACACAAAGCGATTTAGTGTTCCTTTGTGTAATAATTACACTGCACTGTGGCACACAATACAGCAGGGTGTCTGATTTGTTAACACAGCAGATGTTTAGAGGCGTGATGGATTTGGGACCCCTCAGCTGAACCCATTTCCTTTAATCCTGTCACAAACTGGTACATTTGCTTTGCTCTGATAATTTGATGAAGTCATGAGGTCTGAGTCACTGTGTCTCATACCACATAAATGTAATGCACCATTATAATTGATCATTTCCTCACTAAACGCAGGTGATTGCTGCAACATTAGTGATAATGTCATTTGTGGTGATTAGAAAATTATAAACAAACATAATATCCGTTTGATGATGGCATTTGACATCAGGTTAATATTGGACCATATTTGTTGTTAGTCCAGGTTTAGGCCTCATGAGACCAGGTGTAGTACCAGAACAGTCCCAGTCCTGATGTGGGGTGTGTGTGCTCCCCCAGGATCCATGTCACACTGTGAGCTGGCCACGTTCTCAGGTAATAAAATTATACATGTAGGAGCAGTTTGCAGACAGCATATTTGTACTAATGGAGTTATATTTTGATTGAAATAGCAGAATTCTTATTCAAATAAAAGTTTGGGTTACTCTTAGTTTAGTTTAGTCTTTATTTGAAGGGACAATGTACAGAGACATTAAGATCATAAAAACAGAGTACTGCACCAGTTTAGAGCTAAATAGTTAGTTTCTTGCCTGACCAGACAGTTTGTCAAAGTATGTGGTTCTGAGTGATTAGTTCCAGACAGTTGAGTGTTTCCTCAAATACCTTTTTTTCTCTTTCTTGAGTAATTTCTTGCCCTTATACCTTCTACTTGAGTAATTTTATTTTGAAGTGATGCCACCCTTACTTGAATAGATAGTTTGTCTCCTCTCCCTCCTCTGTTGCAGCTCAGAGGAAGTGCAGACGGGGGCAGATGTGTCTGATTTGTCTTCAGACTTCCACGATAAGGTCATTAATGAATAAATGATCAGGCCATGAATGATGCAGGAGGGAGAGTGGGGAGAGGCCTCTGTGTTACAGTGTCTGAGCTTGTGGTCTGGATTGGCAAAATATTAACCCAATTTTATGTACTATTTATACGGACATGTCAGGCAGGAGATAGGAGCAGAGGCTGGATTATATCATGTTTTTTGCCCTTTTGTAATCATTTGGAAATATTAGTTTGGGTATTCAATTCAACAAATATACAAGTGAATATTTTCTATGCATTTAACTCATCCTTAAAGAGATTGAGGCCCCCTTTTCAATTCTACTTCCATAATCCATTGCTCTCACAGTCTGCCCTCTGCCTTTTTTAACCTGTTGCTCTATAGGCTCCAGTGACTTTCCATGAACCCAGTTTGTTGCAGAAGGTTTGTTTTAAGAATTTAGTTACAACTTGTCAGGGCTTTTTTCAGTCTGGTAAATAATTAAACAATTCTACAGAAATGTTGTCTTTTAACTCAATATCATCATCATCGTCACTGGGTTTGGTTCATAATGACACACATTAACAAGTGCTCCAGACCGGACACATGTCAGACAGGCTCAGTCAAGTGTGTAACTGACTCGACAACTGCTTGGAGTTACCATGGGAATATGTACTGTTTCCACTTACACAATGTGCTTTCAGTTTGGTGCATATAAAAGGTAGATGCATGTTTTTGTTTCTTTTTTCCTTTTTGTTTATTTCAGCGTAAGAATCTCATTATCAATTGGATATAGAAATAATAATAATAATATAGTGCCCAAAAGACTCCCAAAGTGTTTTACATTATTGACTCATTCAGCTCCTTTTGTAGCCGCAGCTTCTCCATAGGCGCCTCCGACCACCACCATTCACACACTCCATTCATACTAGACAAGGTGGTGTGAAGTGTCCTGCCCAAATGCACAACAACAGCATGCACTAGAGCCACAGCAGCACTTGTATTGATTGATTGATTGATTGATAGCATTTATATAGTGCCAAAGCACTTTACAGTTCATTATTCAGTCACTCCACACTTAGTGGTGGTAAGCTACTACTGTAGCCACAGCCGCCCTGGGGCAGACTGACGGAAGCAAGGCTGCCAATCTGTGCCATCGGCCCCTCCGACCACCACCATCACTCACGCTCACACCAGTCTCATACTAGGCAATGTGGGTGAAGTGTCTTGCCTAAGGACACAACGACAGTTTTTTGCCACTGGCACCCCACTGTATTGGTATTTGGTTTGCAACCCAAAATTACCCAATCCCGACGATGCTTATAGCTTCCTAGATCAGAGGAGATTGGGCATTCTCAGGGTGATATGCTTCTTCCCTTTTACATATCCAAAACACTAAATATACATTCATTATATGTGGGTTTCAGAGTAATCGAACATTTGCACAGTTGCCAAAGCAGTTAACAATAAATTGGTGAAGTCCCCAGGGAGCTGAACTGCATGATTAAATTAGATATACAATTCTTCACATTCCTGTCACACTAATTGTGACACATGTGAAAACCATATCTCATTGACAGCTATAATATGAATAGGCCTCCAGGTTTGACCGCTCCATAATAGCCCTTCATCATGGATCCCTGTGGTGCTGTTTATTGAGTTATACTTGATGTGTGTCGAGGGCTCGCTCACCAAACACTAACAAGACTCTGCATCTGATGACTCACTGTCTGTACGGGCTCTACAGTGAGGTTTGGAGAGGGGGAGCCTCGTCGCACAGAGGAGGGTCTGGGGGTTGATGCCCCGCTCTAGTCCTTTGTCCTCATGTTAAAGTCCAGCTCTGGTCCAGACTGACAGCTCTTCAGATAATGTCATATGAGTCACAGTGCTTCTGCCATACCCACTAATCATGTGTCAGCAGGATTTGCTGTATGCTGCAATCAGCCAGTGTGTCTGAGACTAAATACAAACCTGAAAAGTAAACGGTGTAATAAATTATACTTTTTGCTTGTTGTATTATCCATTGAAATACTTACAATATTATCCAAAAAGTACAATTTAATGATTAGGTAAAAGGACGTAACAATGGATGTGTGGATGGGACTGATTCAAAGTACAAAAATATAATTTGCAATTGTGCACTGTAAATGGTTTGGAAAAAAGGGGTGAGCTGAAAAAACTAAATGGGAACACTAACACTAACACGAACACTCTCTTAACACTAGTTCATTTTATGTTATGTAAATGGAATTGCAGTATTTATGCAGCATTTTATTTTATTTTGTATCAATGAATTGAATCTGTGAAGGTCACAAAATGGACCAATGTATGCATTTTACTTCTGATACAACATCACAGCCTCTTGGTCTGTATATATATCACATGATATCATATATTAGATCATAACAGAGCAGGTCTTTTTTCGACTATTAACAAATCATTTCTATTCAGCAATTATCTTAATAGTCAGAACTATATGATTAATTGTTGCGACCCTTCAGTGGTCACTATTAAAATCAATAAAATAGTAAAGGGTTTACAATGTTATTCGTAATAAAATGTATATATTAGTATCTTCTTGACTACTATATTTTATAAACTTTTCTGAGCTATATCAAAAGAAAATATTTTAACCCACTTTGCAATCCCCAATGTAGCTTCAACATGCCACAACCGTTATTCCCAAGATGTCTGGAGAAACATGTCCTATTTTTATGTGCCTCCTATAAGAAAGCCTGTTTAATCTGTTTAACTTTATTTGTGAGTTTGTAAATC